AGACCAAGCGATCACAATGAAAATAACATTGTTTGCCCAGAAAATAATGTCTCTGAATGCCTGCTCTAATTTTTTATACTATGGAAAGTAGCAAAGAATTTACGTTTCACAATATTTGGACCTGTTATAAAAGTAAAAGTGTGGACTGTCACGTGTTTTATATAACTCAATGATGTAAGTCTAGTTGTCAGAGTTTTCAAGAATCACCCAAAACAACTTGTAATACATGTATTATTCTTGATTATTAAGTGACTATAGATCTCATCTGATTATTTATTTCATTGAACGCGTGTGTTCATGAATAACAAATAAAAGTAATTAGAACAGGACTAATAGGCAGGTTATCTCTATTCGGGATACTCTCACCAGTTTAGGATAATTTGATATCACTTACTAAAACATGGTAGTTTTTTCCAGATTGTCGTTGGATATTCCTAACCAGAGTAATGAAACAAGAGAGAACCCTCAACAGTTGAGGTACTTGAAATTATTTTAGGCAGGATTAGAATAGATTAATGTATTAGACCTTCGGCGTGATCAAATACATCAATCGTCAAAAGGGTTTGACCTTCTGAGTCGAAAACTGTAATTAGATCTCAAATCGGTCAAGAGATGACCGAGCTATGAGATAAAAGTTTGTACTTGAAGAAAAAAAAAACTCAGCGCCGTTTTATGAGCCGCTCATCCGCGGCTAAAAAGATCTAAGTTAATTTTCTTTCTGCATTTCTTAATCCAATATTCTGATCACCGATGGTTGAAATGAGTTAAAAAAAAACGATTTTTTGTATAAGTTTATTACCACGATGATACTAGATTAAAAAACACTTAGTTTGGGCTGACTTGGATAATGTGAAAAGTTAATAATGAGGGACTAGAAGCAAATTTAGAACATTGGAAGAGCAAATCGCATTTAAAATAAACTCCTACTTCTTTTTGTTGTAACTAATTCTAGGTTTGCGTCCGAACGTTCCCTATCTTTAAGAAATGGCACTAGAGAGCAGTAAAGTTAGAATAATTACAAGGAAACAGTAAAATATATTTTTCAGTAAGATACTGTGTTCTTTTTGGTTAAGATATAGATGTATTTTTAGTAACATAATGTGTTTCTTTTGGTTAAGATGTAGATGTATTTTTATGTAAGATACTCTGTTCTTCTTGGTTAAAATATAGATGTATTTTTAGTAAGTTACTGTGTTCCTTTTTGTTAAGATAAAGATGTATTTTCATGTAAGATACTGTATTCCTTTTGGTTAAGATATAAATTTATTTTAATGTAATATACTGCGTTCCTTTTGGTTAAGATAAAGATGTATTTTTATATAAGACACTGTGTTCCTTTTCGTTAAGATAAAGATGTATTTTTAGCAAGATAATGTGTTCCATTTGGTTAAGATATAGATGTTTTTTTATGTAAGATACCGTGTTCCTTTTGGTTAATATATAAATGTATTTTTAGCCATATACTGTGTTCCTTTTGGTTAACATATACATTTATTTTCATGAAAGATATAGTGTTCCTTTTGGTTAAGATATAAATGTATTTTAATGTAAGATACCGTGTTCCTTTTGGTTAAGATATAAATGTATTTTAATGTAAGATACTGTGTTCCTTTTGGTTAAGATAAGGATGTATTTTTACGTACGATACTGTGTTTTTTTTTGGTTAAGATATACATGTATTTTCATACAAGATACTGTATTCCTTTTGGTTAAGATATAAATTTATTTTAATGTAACATACTGTGTTCCTTTTCGTTAAGATAAAGATATATTTGAGTAAGATACTATGTTTCTTTCGGTTAAGATGTAGATGTATTTTTATGTAGGATATTGTGTTCCGTTTGGTTAAGATAAAGATGTATTTTTATGTAAGATACTGTTGTTATTTTGTTTATGATAAGGATGTATTTTTATGTAAAATACTGTGTTCCTTTTGGTTAAGATATAGATGTATTTTTATGTAAGATACTGTGTTCATTTTGGTTAAGATGAACATGTATTTTTATGCAAGATACTGTGTTCCTTTCGGTTAAGATGTAGATGTATTTTGATGTAAGTTACTGTGTTCCTTTTCGTTAAGATAAAGATATATTTGAGTAAGATACTATGTTTCTTTCGGTTAAGATGTAGATGTATTTTTATGTAGGATATTGTGTTCCGTTTGGTTAAGATAAAGATGTATTTTTATGTAAAGTACTGTCTTCCTTTTGCTTAAGAATAAAGATACAGAAAGAACAATCTGTACTATGTCTACTACAGGTATTTAAATCCGATTTTTAGAGTCATAGGCCTTCAAATTTACCACTGACCACTGGAAGGTATAAAATACTATATACATTTATAATTTTGTTTTATCAAGTAATTGATTGAGTTATTTTCATAATACTGCATGAGTCTTAGACTGTTCACCATTTGCATACACTCTATTAACCTTTTCTGTAGCGATTGGTAGTTAAAGCTTGAATTCCTATGCATATTTGTGAAACATCGAAAAAGTAACACACGTCAGCATTTCAACTCCAGTGTTACCCCTTTTTGTAAACTAAACGTTTCATTTTGAACCATGTAATAAATTTAAATTTGCATCAGTTAGCATTATATTAGACACTGTTTATAAGAACTGAAACGTTTCTCCTCACACACAATCCTCAAGTCCTTGAAATTTTGTCACCATTTGGCAGTGTTACGTTTTCTTCGTGAATAAGAAAGAGAACATTAATAGTACTTCGTTTCAAAGTTTTAATTTCCAAACATCTTCTTATTGGAAGAAAACAAATGATATATATAGGAATATGTACGTATTTTTATGGAAAATAAATACAATCTGTATTATTGATACTAGATATGGTACTTATAGCGCAGCTGTTTCTAAGTATCATAATGGAACATACAGTCTCAACATTAACATTTCAACAGACCCGGCATGGACAGGTGGTTGGGGACGTTCAACTAACAATATGCGGGTCGCGGGTTCGAATCCCCGTCACAACAACATGCTCGCCCTTTCAACCGTGGGGGCGTTATAATGTGACTGTCAATCCCATTATTCGCTGGTTAAAGATTAGTCCAAAAGTTGGCGGTGGGTGGTGATGATTATCTGCCTTCCCTCTAGTCTTACACTCCAAAATTAGGGATGGTTAGGGCAGATAGCCCTCGTGTAGCTTTGCGCGAAATTCAAAAAACAAACATTTAAACCAAACAGAACCAACAGAAGAACTTTATGAAAGCTCGAGGACAATCTGCAACAAGCAGGTGAATTAATGGTCAATTATTCGCACATTTTAGAGCATTACTTTAGACAAGGTGGCTCTAATTGATAATTACTGAGACAGTCATTCCCCAAATGAGAACGTTATAATGTCTCTATTAACGTTAATAAATAACCGTGATAGAGTATATTTCATTTCAGTGCCAATGTTCTTAGTAATTAGAAATATAACTACCACTATTATAAAATTCCGTACATTGATTAGTGATTTAATTTTTAGCTTTGAGCTATATATGTAACTTAAAGTGATCGTTGGTAAATGATAGGATCCATTTGTCTATCTACATCAGATGATAGTAATGTAGCCTCTTAATTCATTTTCAGTTAGAGGCTATTGAACAATTTCTTTTTATTTAATTTTTCTTTTATTACGACGTAGTTGCGTTTGATTGTTATTCGTATTACTATCTGTCTACTTCTCTATCTTTCTAACTGTCTAACAATTTTGGCGCCAATACAATTTAATTTTTCTGTCTAGGATATTCTTCATTTCAGATCTAGTGCTAGCACATTATGTCGAAAAAATCGTTTATAGCTTTTGAAACAAAAGTACATGTTTTCATTATTTCTGTTAGTATTTAACCAACTTTTCCTTCAGTTGTAGTTGAAAAAACAAATGTTTATTGCATTAAAAAACTCTCTGCTTAATACTGTACAATATTGTTGGTGTACTGAAGATGAATACATTATATTAAAACAACTCTGTAGGTTTACCACTTCGTCACAGTCAACATCATGTTCTAGCTGACGACCGTTCATCCTTGATAATAGCCCTACAGTGTAGTTTCCATTGCAAACGGCTCCGTCGTAAGGCTGCCATGTCAGAAGCACACCACTCCTCCTTGCTTGCTTTCCATAACCCATCTAGTATATGAGAACAATGGTTTCTCAACACCCGTTTCAACAGACTGATCACACAGACGTCCACGTGCGACTTTGTTGATATGTCTTCGTAAGAAACACAACGAATACCTATTTCATTCTTTAGGTATGTCATGGAAGCAGTGTGTGTACACGTGACTTGTGTCGTTTTTCCAGAAGAATATCTCTTTTGATTATGTTGCGTGCTCTTACATGGTACTCGTGGACTGATTTCCGACTGATCATTGTGTTCGTGGATTCTTTTATCTTTTACAAGACGTTGCACTTGCTTAGCATGGCTCGGAAACTTCTTGTTGCAGGTCTCTTTCTGTATGGTCCTAAAGACTCAAGTTGACCCATAATCTTTAATTTTTTCATACTATTAAGTACAAGGAATATCTAAGTCTTGAAAATTCTAAACTCCCGATCTGAACACATCCTTATGATCTGAGTGTATGAATAGGGATGTTACATACACTTCCTAAAAGTTATATATTTGAGTTGACAGTACACTACTTACAAAACGACAGACAAAGTAAAAATGAAGGTCTGATAAATACAGTTGCACCGCTACTTCAAATCAACTGTAGTTGTCACGTAACTTGCTGATTTGCGTATTGAATATCATTTTTAATATAACGTATTTAACTCTCTGTATACTCAGAAACAATTTTTCGTGCATTACTTGCAGAGAAACACTTAGTTTGTAGGTATCAGTTGCCACAGAACATGTCCCAAAGTTCAAGTTTCTTTAATCGCTTGCTTCTAATGCCAGTTGAACGCTCAACGTCATCATGTTTAGTTTTCCAAAGATTAACACGAAAGTTTTTTTTTGTTTGTTTATAATAGCGTGTGTTAAGTATCTATATAGAGTTTGAAGTTAGACACTTCGACCAAACTAGTCACGCTTTGCCAGAAACATGATTCGAATATTTCTGGATTACTGAATAAACTCACTAGACCAGGCAGTCTCCATTCCGCTTTCACCACCACAAAACACCAATATACTTATAAATTTTGCTACAAAAAACAAAAAAATAATAATACCTTTATAAGTTTTATTATCCATTTTTGACAAAGATATTCCCAGAAGCATAAGATATAGTCTAATAAGTTCATAGAAAAACTATTTAATAGAAAACTCTTACCGTTGATACTAGAAGTACCCCAACAACTTCTTACCACTGATATCAGAAGTACCCTAACAACTTCTTACCATTAATACCAGAATTACCCTAACAACTTCTTACCATTAATACCAGAACTACCCTAACAACTTCTTACCATTAATACCAGAACTACCCTAACAACTTCTTACCATTAATACCAGAATTACCCTAACAACTTCTTACCATTAATACCAGAACTACCCTAACAACTTCTTACCATTAATACCAGAACTACCCTAACAACTTCTTACCATTAATACCAGAACTACCCTAACAACTTCTTCCCACTGATACCAGAACTACCCTAACAACTCATCACTGATACCAGAAGTAACCTAACTAATCCTGAACGTAAATTTATTAGATAGCACGGCTCTATAAATTAATTCTGAATTACTTAGTAGCGTGCTTGACGGAAAGCAACAGTTGTCATATGTTATTGCAATGGATTGTTGGGCGGTTTCTTTAGATTATTCGGTAAAATTGAATAAAGCAAAGTGCAATCGGCTTAACCATATCGAAACTCCTACAGTTTAGCCTAACTAGTATTCATTGGTAAGCCTAAGTCCAAAGTAAATGCTAATCCAACAATTTCACTTACTTGACATCTGCTCTCGTATCTCTAGTACTTCGTCGAAACACAAAATCAACACTCACAAAACTGAACTAACTGAGCTGATAGTAACAGACAAACTAGTTAAAAACTCACTAACTTCATAACTAGTCATCACGTGACAGATTCACTAACCAATAATCGTCTACTCTAGCTTTTATTCTCCTTTATATGGCTAAATATTTTCATAAACTTTCAGTAAGTTTCTACTCAATAAGCCACACGCGACGTCAAACTCCCCCTGGCCAACAACAATACAAGTGTCCAAACTGAAATCAAAACATATCCTACAACAATATTGTTGTCTAATACTTTAAGAGTAGGCAATATCAAAGTTGTTTTTGGTCATCTTAAACAATAAAACTTATTAAACACTTAAGCAATAAATCAGACATTTGTCTATTCTTAACTGGAAGGAAGGTCGCATTATGTTTAGCTCTACAGGATGTCTGCTAAGACGACTATTCACAACTAATTTTACTTGCTTCTTTCATTAGAAAAATTTATAAAAATAACTAATAACTGGTCAATAATGTAAGATCTCTTCATTCCTAATCTGGAGTCGATAAACTAGAGAGCTCTATTCGTCCCTAATCTTGAATTGATAAACTAGAGAGAAAATAGCTGGTCGACAACTTAAGCTCTCTTCGTCCCTGATCTTTAATCGATAAACGAGAGAGAAAATAACTAGACAACAACTTAAGCTCTCTTCGTCCCTAATCTTTAATCGATAAACTAGAGAGAAAATAACTAGACAACAACTTAAGCTCTCTTCGTCCCTAATCTTTAATCGATAAACTAGAGAGAAAATAACTAGACAACAACTTAAGCTCTCTTCGTCCCTAATCTTGATTCGAGAAACTAGAGAGAAAACGATGCCATAAACGATGGCAACATAGTAATTATCACATTACGTTGACAATGCCATAAACGATGGCAACATAGTAATTATCACATTTCGTTGACAATACCATAAACGATGGCAACATAGTAATTATCACATTTCGTTGACAATACCATAAACGATGGCAACATAGTAATTATTGCATTTCGTTGACAATACCATAAACGATGGCAACATAGTAATTATTGCATTTCGTTGGCAGCACTAGAATTCTTACTCAGTGCTGTAAACAAAAGAAGAAAAAGTTATGAAGAATAAAAACATTTTGAAGGTAAAAGAAGCATAGATACAGAAAATAATGAATAAATGTTGAATACTTATAATACAGACTATTACCTTAAGCTACATATGGAAATATTGGAGCACTTTCCCCGTTTATTTATTGCATGAATTGGTTATTGCTCTTCTATATGGTGCAATGTATAAAACTCATTGCATATTTTGAGGTCCAGATAGTCAATTTCTTTTTAGGTTAACGTATGTATATACACATACAAAGCAGTCAGTAATAAATACCGAAATGGCTTAAAAACGTGCGTTTAACATTCACCTGACGTCACTTACTGGTCCAAGAACTTTTCAGTTTCCTTTCAAATTTGCATGAACACGAATCAGTTAAGTCTCCAAACTCTCTCTCCACAACAGTTATTCATTTTATACGAGTTATGTAATACATGTTTTACATAACATGCCATTTCGATGTCACAATATTAGTTCGAATTACACTAAGCATAGGGAATATTTCAATGAATATGGAACAAAAACCTTGTCTGTTAAATATCTTCTGTTTTATTATTTCTGTATTTTACCAACGTAATAAAAGCGAGATTTTCTCATACATATACAACTGTTTTTTTTATATAAACAGAGTTTTGAAACAGCACGACCGTGTTTGAAGTTAAAAATTAAAACTACAGATCTCTTCAGAATCGTCGTACAACAGATACAGTATATACAGCAGAAGTTCTGATCAAAAGTTTGTTAACGATATAGATCAGAACTAAAAATATAAGTAGCTAACAAGTCAATTCTGTATAATAAATTTACGAGTAAAAAACTAAGCCCTACAAGGGTTGGAATGCCTTCCTGCTATTACTCACTTTATCGGTCGTAATCCCAATAATATCCCACGAAGTGTGGCCAGCTTAGGACAGTTAGGATATAGTTCTAAATCCAAATTAACAATTAATAACTGAACCTGTTGGGGCTGATGAACCCTGATACATAACTGAAAATGTACAGTCCTAAATCCAAATTAAGAACAAATAATTTAACCTGTTGAGGCTGATGAACCCTGATACATAACTGAAGATGTATAATCATAAATCGAAATTAAGAACAAACAATTTAACCTGGTGGGTCTGATGAACCCTGATACAGAACTGAAGATGTATAGTCCTAAATCTAAATTAGGAACAAACAATTTAGCCAAAAAGAAGAGCAACAAAGTACATTTTGTTTCTAAATATCCGTTTTGTTCGGTTGTACATAAATATGTAATTAAAACCGTTGTCAGTTTTAATATAATGTAATATTAAATTTCTTACTCACTTAACTTTCTAAGTTACATTGCAGTTTTTCGAAATAAGCAGTAGAGAGTGTGAAGATGTTTGGTGCCGGGTGTGACAAGTTGACAGGATCTTTAAATGAGTGCGCATGCGCGTGTATTATCCCGTGCTGAAAATGTGGCAGTTAATTTAAACAGGTTATGAAACAATACTTTATTGGAGGGAGGCGGAGATTATGGTATCCTCTACTTAGTTAAACTTTTTATAGAACTCCAGTATCACCTTACTCTCTTTCTGAAACAAGACTATACATTTTAAAATACTGGAGAGAGGGTGACAAAATACATGTTGGCACCTCAAAAATTAATTGAAGGACTAGACCTTCCTCACACATCCCTGTTGATATTCCATTCATAAGTCTAATTTTCAACAATTTGCTTGATTCGGAAGTTCGCATAAATCTACAAATCTGTCCTTGCTTTTCAGGTGGTAGACTACAGGAATTGAAACTACTCAAAAATGTCCACTTCCATCTGTTGTAAATACTCTTGTCTGATCTAATAGTAGGATTTGACTCCAATTCTTAGAGGGCTCCCCACGGCCCCAAAGTGCGTAGCGTCTTTTTGTGGCAACGGGCTATAAACCGTAAATCCTCAGGTTTTCATTTCGGGCACGCTTACGAATGACCACGTTCTGCCCAACAGGATATGTTTATAAAAATGGATAAGTTAGTTCGATTTTGAAAGAGGCCCTCAGACTTTGCTAGAACACATGTCTGAACATGAAACTTATATTTGTTTAGAGGCAAAATACTTTGATGTGTTTTGTGCGTTCGACATCTTGTCCATTTCTTCCAGTGTTTAATGGCCTTGCTTGTTTCCCTAGTTTAGAATTTATAGACTAGGGGGAAAGTAGCCAGTCAACATCACCCACTGCTAACCCTTAGACTACTCTTTTTTTTCTAACGAATATGACATTATAACGTCCCCACGCTGATAAGGAGAGCACGTTCAGTGACAAGCTTCGAATTTGCAGATTGTTAATAGAGTGCCCGAACCACCAGGCCGCGCCAGGCCCATGTTTAATGGAGTGGTATGTTGTGTTTTTCAACTTGAACGGTACTTTATTGACTCATAGGCCAAACGGCCAGTTCAGGACCTCAAAGTTCAATTATAGCCATCTCTGATTTAGAACTGCTGACCAGAGTGCGAACAATCACTCAACAGCGCTTGACCCCTAAACTGCTACTCTTTATCCAATAGAGAGATGACTGTCACAGTTATCACTCTGCAACAGCACAGCGGAAAGCACGAAGATCCATTGACATATCACGAACTCGAACCTTAGACCTTCCGATCCTCTGCATTAAATGACGTGCATGTTTCTCTTAAAAGCAATACACAGATCTTATGACTGGAAGTGTTGTCCAATTTTGTGGAAAATAAATCCTAATGTTGATATTTTGTAGATAGTAACTGCCATGTGAATGAAGAAGGTGCCAGTAAAGGGAGGAGGAAGAATAAAAATTTGGTTATAAGTCGTTACTTTAAGAGAAAACTGTTGACATTATATAACTGTTTACATAAAACCTTCATTTATGAAGAGAAATCCCACAAATAACTCACTGTGAGTAACATCGGTACTATAAAACTAATACGGCTCAAAATGAAACCTCAGAGAGAATCCTGGAATCTTTCAATATGTTGATAGAATATATAAAGCTCTTAACACTTGTGTTCAAACAGCGCCGAAAGCTTCATTTGTAGAGAAGAACCACAATACAAATATTCTGGGTTCTCTGTATTGAATTACTTTTAAACATTCGCCAACAGTCTAAGCTACTTAGCGAGAAAGTAGAAGCAAACTGTTAATAAAGAGTTAGTAGTCTGGAAAAAGAAAATATATCCTCACGTTGCGCCGTAACGTGAGTGAACTTTTCCAGTGATATTACATTGGTTTGTAAACTTTGCAATGTTAAAATAAAATGAAAATTAGTTTCTGGTGTATCAGAAACTCTATCATTTGATAAAATAAAGTTTGTAAATTAACCCTAAAATATCGGTAAGGGGTCCATCAACGGTTTTTAAACATGATTATATACAAAATATTTATGCACCACATTGCTATGTCCCTTAGATTGTTAGTTACAGGTTCGTAATAACTATAGATAATGATAAACATTGTTTGTAATTAAGCACAAAGCTACACAATGGGCTATCTGTGCTCTGCCCACCACGGGTATCGAAACCCGGATTCTAGCGTTGTAAGTCCGCAGATATACCGCTGTGCCACTGGGGGGCTAGAAATAGAAACTTACAAACAAAATATCAATTACATGCAGTGAGAGTTGTAACAAGGTAAAGCATAAAATTATCCAATATGATGTAACATGTGGACCAAGTCATAGTTTAATAGTCTGAAAATAAATTAATAATTTATTAGCACAACAGTGTGAAGGAAAAAGTCTTGATAGAAATGAACGAAGTAAAAATATTCGAGCAGATATTCGTATATAAGCATATTAATACAAGTACATTATAGCAGTAGACAAACTGAAATAAATTAGTACAAGTAGATTATAACAATATACAAAGCGAAGCATATTAATACAAGTATATTATAACAATATACAAACTGAAGCATACTAGCGCAAGTAAATTATAACAATATACAAACTGAAGCATATTAATACAAGTAGATTATAACAATATACAAATTGAAGCATATTAATACAAGTAGATTATAACAATATACAAAGTGAAGCATATTAATACAAGTAGAGTATAGTAGTATACAAACTGAACCATATTAATACAAGTAGAGTATAGTATAAAAACTGAACCATATTAATACAAGTAGAGTATAGTAGTATACAAACTGAACCATATTAATACAAGTAGAGTATAGTATAAAAACTGAACCATATTAATACAAGTAGAGTATATTAGTATACAAACTGAACCATATTAATACAAGTAGAGTATAGTATACAAACTGAACCATATTAATACAAGTATAGTATAGTAGTACACAAACTGAACCATATTAATAGAAGTAGAGTATAGTAGTATACAAACTGAACCATATTAATAGAAGTAGAGTATAGTATACAAACTGAACCATATTAATAGAAGTAGAGTATAGTATACAAACTGAACCATATTAATACAAGTATAGTATAGTATACAAACTGAACCATATTAATACAAGTAGAGTATAGTAGTATACAAACTGAACCATATTAATACAAGTAGAGTATAGTAGTATACAAACTGAACCATATTAATAGAAGTAGAGTATAGTATACAAACTGAACCATATTAATACAAGTAGAGTATAGTAGTATACAAACTGAACCATATTAATCCAAGTAGAGTATAGTAGTATACAAACTGAACCATATTAATACAAGTAGAGTATAGTAGTATACAAACTGAACTATATTAATACTAAGTAGAGTATAGTAGTATACTAAACTGAACCATATTAA